GCTGCCAGCGGAACCTGTCTTGGCCTCGTGTCCCAGGCTGGAGAGGACGGGGCAATGGGGACATTAGCCGGGGGAGGAGGGACCAGGGTGCATGGGGCTGGGGCGCTGGGGTGGGTCGCTAATCTGTGGGCTGATTGGAGCCCCCAATATCTGTAACACCCTTCCCCCCAGGTCTGAACGATGTGCTGCCCAACGCCCCCCCCTACGTGCCCCGCATTGGCCAGGTGAGTACTGGGTGCCCTGAGGGGTGGAGGGGAACCCTTCCCCCATCTGCTGCACTGGGTAGGCCCTATGTAAACTCCAGTGGGGGGCTCAGAGCTTGGGGGCTTCCGTTCTGTGCTGGGAAGGCAGGAGGCTGGTGCTTAACATTTACTGTAGGTCCTATATAAACTGTAGCTTGAGCGGGTTAATCACCTCTCCACGTGCTGGGGGGAAGGGGGGGCAGCAGGGCCCCACTCACCCTTATGTCCCCCCCCAGCGGATCACTGTTCTCATTGGGAAGCCATTCAGTGTCCGGCCAGTGTTGGAGCGTCTCCAGGCTGAGAACAAGTCTGCAGTGAGTGGGGGCTGCGTCAGGGAGTGTGGGGTGGGTGACCCAAAGGAGAGGGAGACTGGGGGAGATTAGAGGGTCAGGTGTCTGGGGGGGGTAGAGTGCTTGAGAGCACGGGCATGCCTGCGGAGCCATGAGATGTGTCTGGAGGGATAGGGGCATGCCTGGGGGTGGGGATGGGATGAGGCAGTGGAGCTAGGTCTGCATGCAACATCATGGGGGTGGAGCTGGGCCAGGGGCCACATCCTGGGGGGATGGGACAGAAGCCGTGCCCTCTGACCCCAGTGCCCCACAGGTGGAGATGCGCAAGATGCTGACAGATTTCATCCAGGGTGAGATCCAGGAACTGAAGGGCCAGGCTGAGCGGCTGGTGGGGATGGGATGAGGCAGTGGAGCTAGGTCTGCATGCAACATCATGGGGGTGGAGCTGGGCCAGGGGCCACATCCTGGGGGGATGGGACAGAAGCCGTGCCCTCTGACCCCAGTGCCCCACAGGTGGAGATGCGCAAGATGCTGACAGATTTCATCCAGGGTGAGATCCAGGAACTGAAGGGCCAGGCTGAGCGGCTGCATCAGACCTTCCAGTGGCACAGATAGCTGGGGGGTTCCCCACCCCACAGCTCTGCTCCACACGCCGGCGGGGGCGGCCCCTCGCGCCCTCCGAC